AATTATCCAAGGAAATTCCTCGCAGCGTAATAATTGGAATAGGGACAAAGTTTGCTTACATTTTGCATCGGGACTCGGATTATGATTGCTGTGTTTTGGTTCCCCTACCTTTCCTGTTTTAATATTTCAGTTTGGGTTTTGTGTTGTTTGTTTGAAGTTCCTGAACCAATTTAGATTTGGAACTTGCCCAAAAGCTCCAAGTGAGCAACAATATGTTTAAACTTTAAACGTGTTGCAACTCTCGAGCCTGTGCAATTGCGTAGGCTCTGGCTTCAAATTGGTTCAGAATGCGAGAGTGGAGCAGCAGAGAGAACTGTGGTGCGGAACATCTTTTCATTTTACAAAAAAGGACTGCCTCTCCCATCCTTTGCCAACCTTGCACCCTTCAGATGTTTTGAACTTCAGTTCTCATCAGCCCCAGCACCATATGGCCATCCTGACTGGAGCTGATGGGAGTTGTAGTCCAGAACATTTTGAAGGCGCCAGGGTGCTGAAGGCTGGCCTCATTTGTTGCGTTTTGTTTGTGGGGCTTCCCCTGTAAACTGATTTGAATTAATTCATTTGGAATATTTGGTTTCCCACAGGTTATTATAAGAGCAGAACTTCATGAGAACATGAGGAGAGCCTGCTGGATCAGGCCCCTGGCCCATCTAGTCCAGCATCCTGTTCTCACACTAGGCAACCAGGTGCCCCAATGGGAAACCCTCAAGCAGGATTCGCGCACTCTCAAGTTGTTCAACAAGAGCAACAACGAAAAGCCGCCTTCTAAATTAGGCTGCTGAGTTGAGCAAAGCTTACGGCAAAAACCAAGAGTGGATCTTAGTGCAGTGGAACTGTGGGTTGTAGTCAGCTAAATCCTACTCAGAGCAGACCCATTAAAATTGATTAACTTAAGCCATGTGTATTAGAGTAATAGAACTGTTGAGTTGGAAGGGACCTAAAGGGTCATCCAGTCCAACCTGCGATTAATTTCATTGGGTCTACTGTGAGTTGGACTAGCATTGAGTACCATGCTTTGGTCTCTCTCTGAGGGCTGGCATGTGCTCAGAGGCACTGGTGTTCTCTAATCCTAAGAGTTTGTAGTCCTTATCAGGCAATTGCTCTTTGGGTGGATCTTGGTGTCCAATTTACTGAAACATCAGGCCCTGCAAGCCTGAAGTCTGCTTGCTGAGTGGATCCAGCAGCCACCCCTTTCTGCTGTGGAAGAGGGGGCTTAAGAGGATATGACTCCAAGGGGAAACGGATCCAGTGTTACTATGAACAGGAGGAGGTGAGGGATTCCTGTCTCCCACCCTGCTTTCCTCCCCTCCCCTCCCCTTCAGCATTTTTAACTCACCCTTCTGGCCGGAGAAAAGGAAAGGATCGTTTCAGTGAAGAGCAGAGTTATACATCTCCAGAAGAACCTTTGTGCCAGATCTGATTTTCAGATCCCAGCTAAAATCTGACTCTGTGACACAGGGGAAGGTGTGGGGAGCTGTGTTGTGCCCACATGGCTGGGCCTGAACCAGTGACTTCAGCTGTGATCCCTTCACTGCAGGGTGTTGGACTAGATGACTCCTTGTCTCTAAGATTCTGTGACTTGTGGGTCTCACTCACAAAAAAATGGGTTGCCTGACTTGGATTTGAACCGGGAGAAATGGTTTCTGTTTTGCAAGGGGGGAGGGTGAATAAAAGATTTCCAGTTGATCTTTCAGGCGAGCCTACGGGATGTGCAAATCTGTGTGTTGAATGGGGTGTCAGCACGTTGACCCCATGAGGGAATCTTTAAGGGTTTCCCTTTTGCCTTTGTTGTGTGGGTCTTTTAAGAAACAAGGAGCTGACCTTTGCAGGGCCCACCATTGCTATGGGAACGGGGACAGGGGGGAATGAATGCCGTATTGCCCAGGCGATGCCCTCTGGAACCAAAGACACCACTCGCTCCCTTTCATGGGAAGAAGGGGATGAACTGGAGGCTTATGGTCACTTCCAGCCTGGGGGGTGGGGTGGAGAGTAGGAAGCCAAGCATGAGGCAAAGATGCACGGATTCCCCCCCCCCACTCCCTCCCCCCAACGCTTGGCTGCTTAGCTTTGTTGAAAGCAAGAGATAATTGCCAGGGCTCTGGGTGAGCCTCCAATTTTTCAAGTCTCTGCAAATACTAAATTGGGTTTGTCTGGTAATTTTCCTGAGTGTGAAGTGCAGGGCTCAAGAGTTACATGAACAGAGTGAAGGAAGTCAGAGCCAGGGGGATAAAGGGGGCAGGAGAGGGTTGGGGTGTGTTTGTGTGTGGTGGCTCTAGTGAAGGATATGAGAAAGGAGGGCAAGTCTTGGATTCAAAACAGTGGCAGGCAGTACACAAGAATAGAAAAATAGGTCTGTTGGATCAGGCCAATGCCCCATGTAAGGCCAGCATCCTGTTCTCACAGTGGCCAACCAGACGCCTGTGCAAAAACGGCAAGCAGGATTGGAGGACAAGAGCCTTCTCCCCTCCTGCAGATAACAGCAACTGGTATTGAGAAGCATTAGTGCGTCTGACAGCACAGGCAGAGCATAGCCATTGTGGCTAGTAACCATCGATAGCCCTCCATGAATTTGTCCAGTCCCCTTTTAAAGCCATCCAAGTTGGTGGCCATCCTTGCCTCCTGTGGGAGCGGGTTTCCACAATTTGTGCTGCTTTAAAAAGTCCTTTCTTTTATCTCCCCCGAATCTTCCAACGTTCAGCTTCCTTGGATGCCCCCAAGTTCTCGCGTGGAGATGTGCGTGTGGGGAGTGCCAGGTATTCCAGGTGAAATCCAAGCCTGCATTCCTTCCTGCAGGGAACAGCCTGGGTTGGGCTTTAGCGCTTCCTTGCCTGCTTTTGCATTCCAATGTGCCTAAGCCCGCCTGTGTATATCTGAGCTTCCCCGTTGCCCTGAGGCTGGTGCTGCTGTTCCAGGAGGGATGCCCAGGTGGCTCCCTGGTGCTTGGAGCCGAGAGTGAAATATTGGACTGGGCATGTTCTCCTAGGAGGGGCCTTTGAGGCTTGGAGCGCTGAGCCTTAAGGGACTCTTGGATCAGAAAGCAATTTTCTTCTCAGCAGCTGAAGAAGGAGGGGTTTTGGGGTGGGAGGGGAGAGTTAGCTGCTTCAGGGTGGCTTGAAGGTTGTTTTTGTTTCTCTGCTGAAAATGGAACGTCAGCTTTATGGCAGCCCTCCTTGGGGAGAGATGGAAGGACAGAGAACAGCAGGAGGCTCCTGGAGAAGGCCTTGCCCTTCTCATGACTTGCCCCTGCACTCTTATGACAGGTCTCTTGCCTTCCACAAGATAGGGAGTGGTGCCCGCAGGTGTAGGTGGAAGGCCAGGAGGTCTTGCCACCGAATCCCTGGGAAATTCTGTGATGGGGAGCTGATTGACTCATCACGAGTCTAACAAGCTTCGTACAAGTTTCTTGAAAATTGCATTGTTTTAAAGCGAGGAGGGAGGAGTGGCGTGGTTTGCCTCTTTTCATTTTGTGTGTTTGCGGTAGGCAAGTGAGCCACCTTTCCTGCTATGAAAATTGCGAGCAATTCTTGCATCAGCCTGCAGACATGCAGGGAGCCAGCCAAGCAAGGATGCTGAAGCTTCTCTTTGGATGCGTTGTGGCTATTGGGGCCATTGACTTAAAAATGACCATTTAGTTTGCATCTGTTCCTTTAGCAGAAGGAAGGAGTCATGTGGAAGAGACTCCCAGGCATGCTAACTGCTTGCAAGACACTTTAGGAACATGCCAAGAGCATATTGTGATATAGGGTATGATATAGGAGTTAGAGTGCCAGACTTGGACCTGGAAGACCAGGGTTCAAACCCCCACTTGGCCATGAAGCTTCCTGGGTGATCTTGGGCTAGTCACTGCCTCTCAGCCTAACCTACCTCGCAGGACTGTTGTGAGGATTGAGCTCCTTGGAGGAAAAAGACGGGGTATAAATATAAGGCCAGTAGTGTTGGCTTGACTTTCTTCCTCTGTTTGCCCTTGTGTGGTCCCAAAGATGGGGCTGTTTGCGAAAGCCCTGGCACCTTTTGCAATGCTACTTCCAGGGGATGGATCCTGGGACTCCAGTCTAGGTCTGAATTGCACAGCCACCCATCTTGGAAGTCCACACCTGGATGCACCATTAGTGTGCCTGATGACAAACCCTCGCAAGAACACACACCTACTATAGTCAATTACAAAGACACAGTGCTCCTTACAGTGAGTTTGGTGTCCTGCAAATGGTGTAGCCTGAGAAAAAATGCCTGATTGTCAAGACTGCAGGGCTGGCTCTTGAGTTCCTGGGTTCCTGGTCCTATGTTGGGTCACCTGGCCCCAGGTTCCACTTATGCTCTCTGTGTATATCTGTCAATGAACCAGGCTGTGGTGCCCTGGGAATCTGATTAGGATGCTGAACCTGAGGAATCCCAGCCTGCACAGGATTCCCCGCCTCCAGAACCAGCTGAGCTGGGGCTGGGGCATGAGCCTGAAGGGTCCTCACCTGTGCTGGATCCTCAGGTGCAGGCACCAGCTGAGTCTGCTCTGGCTCCTGAGGGGATGGAGGGCCCATTGCCTGCAGGTGCTCCACTCTTAGCCCCGTCAGAGGAAGCTGAGGTTGCCTCTGGGTCCCTCCAGCCTCTCCTGAGTTGCAGAGGCTCTGGGCAGAGAGGCGGAGGGAACTAAGTTCCCGCAGGAGGAGTGCTCGCCTCCAGGCCAGGAGAGGCGAGTCACCTGAGGATCAGGGCCGCCCTATGCCTCAGGGAAGATAAAAGCCAGCCAGCCCCAGTCCCAAGTTGCGGGAGCAACATCGTTGGTTGTCAGTTCCAGCCTGATCCCTGACCTGCTTCCCTGCCGGAGCTCCTGACCTCATCTGACGCCCTGCCCCCAGCTTCTACGTCTACGGACTGCCTTCATATTGCACCATCAACCTCAGACTGGACTTGGACCTCGCCTCTCGGTTAGCCCCCGGGACCAGCACACAGGCATTACAAAGTGCTGTAAGCATTCTGTGGTCTTTCTGTGAGCATATCAGGACAGTGCTGTGGCTCAGTGGTTGAGCATCTGTTTTGCATGCAGAAATCCCCAGGTTTAATACCCAGCATCTCCAGGTAGGACAGGGAGAGACACTCTCTCTGTAATCCTGGAGAGCTGCTGCTAGAAGGACCAGTGGTCTGACTTGGTATAAGGCAGCTTCCTATGCTGGCCTCCCAGCAGCCTTCTGAGGAGCAGAACCGAAGGGCTTGCCAAGCTTTATCTGCTGGTGCAATGAGGCCTCCTTTTCCTAGCAATCTCAGCTGGTTGGCTGACTGCACCCTGGCAGCCTCCCACTTGTCATTACTGGTTCCATGAACCTTGCCAGGGAGCTGGAGGTTGGCTGGGTCTTCCATGCTTTCCAGAGACCGGCTGGCCACTCTTTCCCCCCGACAAGGCAGCCATCGCGAGGGCAAGGACCGAGGTGTTTTTGCACAGTGCTCTGCTCTTTGGGAACGTGAAGAACCTCAGGTTTTTTTGACCCAGCTTGGTGCGGTCTTGGTGCTGCAACCTGAGACTCTTGGGCAAGATGATCCCACTAATTCTGGCATATGGTTTGTCCTGAAATCATTCCTATTGATTCATTGCAGGCAGATTTCAGGAGAAACCGCATCTACAAGCCTCTCTCTTCCCTGGGGAAGTTGAAGTCTGCACCAGCTAGCAGAGTTCAAATGGTGTTCAATTAAGGAGTGCAACGGGTGTGTTGTTGTGTCATTTGCCCTGCTCCTTTAGTCTGGGGGTTTTTTGTGGGGATGAGGGGGTGTTTCTAGAATTTGGGATATTTTGAAAAGGATGGAGTGGTAGAAGAGTGGAAGCATAGGGAAGCAGGCTTCAGATGGAGAGGAACCTCTCTTGTTTCTGTTTCACATTCACACTCCCCACATCCCCAGATGTTCATTCACACTCTCACACGCAAGCATGACTCTTCTGGATTCTTAGCTATTTAAACGTGGCTGTTGCTTTGCCCTGGTGTAACAGATCCGGCAAACCTCCAGGTTTTGTCTCCAGACTATCTCATCTTAATGCGATTATCAGAGAAACATACTGGATGAGGTGACATTAACATCAGGTTGCTAGCAGGGAGAAACCTTCTGCAAGTATGAGGATTCTGTAACACATTTTGCAAATCACTCAGAGATTCTGTTTGCAGTCAAGCAACATACACATTTTGTTAAATAAAAGAAATAATGGCATACTCTTTTGCGCTCTCCCGAACTCAAAAGGTCATCCCCTCTCCCTTCCATTGAGGGCGGGTGGGGTGGGAAGTGGAGTTTCCTTAAATTTAGCCAGGTCATAATGTTCAGAAGAAAGCAAAGGGCAATTAGAACAATCAAGCAGAGTAATTAAAATGCACACACCAGATTGCAAAGGTGGGAGTAAAAATGGCAAACAATTGCTCAGGAATAGAAGTAAAAAAGCATGGCTGTCCCCCTTATGTCATTTCAGGGGTCAAAATTGCAGCTCTAAATTAAATAAATAAAGCTCTAAATGAAGATGGGAGATTGCACTCCTCTTCCACTCTTTTTTTTAAAAAAAATTAATTTGAATTTCTCAGGGCAGATGGGAAAGGTGGAAGAGCCATGGGGGAAATGCAGGGTGACCTTAATTCAGTGAACTGTCATGGCCTCAGACCAGGAATTACTGGAGGGAGAGCCCTCTGATGGCAGCAGCCCTGAGGAGAAGACAGATTCCCCTCCCTGCTCCATCGCATGTGGAGCCATGGTCACCAGAGCCTGCATGTCCTCTCTGAACCATAAGGAGAGAATTCCACTATGAGACTGATGACTGGTCCCCAGACTCCTCAGGAGAACACGGAGATCTTCTTACACCGTGAATGCCTCAAGAAGACGCCAGCAGCTTCAGAGGAAGGCACCAGCTCTTTAACCAGCCATGTTCAGCATCCGGGGAGTAGGACATTTAATCAACGAATACCTATCCCTATCTATAAAGACCTTCCAGTTTCACCTTAGGACAGTGCTAAAACAACTTGCAAGCTAAGCCTTAGCTGTAGGGTCGCTAGCCATGGTCCTGAAACCCACACCGGGGTCCCTCTCAAAGGTGCTGATCCTGCCTCTCCTCTCCTTCCTGACTGCTTGGACTACTTAACTTCTCTTGCTTGGGCCATAATCTGTCCCTGTGGATCAGCAGAATGACAGTATCAAGTAGATGCCCTATAAAAAGTGAATGCCCAGCTTGAGATTTTCAGTGTCCTTCAGACTGCAGGACTGCAGGAAAGGAACATTGCAGCAGTTCTTCCAGTCAAGGAGGAAGGTGGAATAAGCCAGAGTTACTTTGAACAATCCTAGTATCCTAGATTTAGAAGGGTTCCCAAGGGTCATCTAGTTCAGTGTTTCCCAACAGGGGCCATATGACCCCCTGCCCCCCCCCCCAGATAATCCAGAGAGGCCACAGGTGAAAAATGCAAGAATGGGGGGGGCACCCTATTAAAAGATGAACACCCCAACATTATGCTTGCTATTGATTATGGGGGTGCAAGTTAGAATCTAAGAGTTGGATCCAATGAAGTTACAGCAGACCCATTGAAAGACCTAAGGTAGCCATGCTTATTAATTTGAGTGGGTCTTCTCTGAGTAGGCTAACGCTGGGCACAGCCATACATGGCTCTTGCTACCTGTTGCTGAATAAAACCAATCACCCTCAAATCTTCCTCAGTGACCTAAGTTGTCATGACATCCTCTTCCATCTCCGGACTGCTCTAGTTAGAAGCACCTTCATGCGGGTTTCTGAAATACAAACCGGAGACTTGATTTCCGCTTTTAAACTCTAGGGAACTTTGCTTGAGTGAAAGGGATCTGGGAGATAGCGGCTGATGGAAATTACTTTCCCTTATCAGCAAAGGTACTGTTGGGGAAAAGGCACAATTCTGCCTCTCACAGCGAGCCAGCAAGGGAGTCCAGAATTCACAGAAGCAAAATTCTGTTATGTTTTGGAGTCTGCTGCCTTTACTGTAGCTTGTAAATTTACAGCCGGACATAATGAGGTGTGTTTTTAATGACATGATAAGAGGTTTATAAAATGATGCATGTCCTGGAGAAAGTGGATTCTTTCTTCCTGTCCCATAACACTAGAAGTTATGGACAACCAATGAGGCTGAATGTTGGAAGATTCAGGAGAGTTAAAGGAAATCCTTTGTCACACAACACATAGTTAAGCTATGGAACTCTCTTCCACAGGATGGCCACTGACTTGGATGCCTTTAAGAGAGGATTGGACAAATTCATGGAGGAGAGGGCTGCTGATGGCTACATAGCCGCAATGGCTATGCTCAGACTCCACAGCTGAGGCAGCAATGCTTCTGAATGCTGGTTGCTGGAAAACACAGGTGGGGAGAGGGCTCTTGGGCTCAGGTGTTGCTTGTGGGTTGCCTCCGGGCATCTGGTTGGCCCCTGTGAGAACAGGATGCTGGACTAGGTGGGCCATTGGCGTGATCCAGCAGCCTCTTCTTACTTTCCTATCTGACTTTCTTAGGAACATAGCAAGCTGCCTTATGAGGAGTCCATTGGGCTCAACATTGTCTACACAGGCTAGAGGTTGGTCTCTAGGGTTTCATACAGGGGTCTCCTCCAGCCCTATCTGTAGATTAAAGTGAATTGCTGCTCTACCATTGAACTATGGCCTGTCCTCAAGTGAACACTAGTTCTTCTCTTTCCTCCCCTCAACAGTTCTGGGAGCCAACATAAGCGAGACCTTAGCCAAATGATGGCTTTAATGCTTTTGAATTTGGCATCATTTCTGCAGCAATCTCCTTGCAAGGTACCTTTAATGTGTCTTAAGGTGGGGGGGGGAGCTGGAATTGGAAGGTGTAGCTTAGAAATTTGAGAACGACCAGAAACAGCACCATGAAAGATGACTCAATTATCTAATCAGGCAAATGACTTTGACACAACTGAGGAAATGTCCTTGAGGATTATTATTTTTTGTAAAGGTCAGGAATGTTCGGTATGTAATCAGCATCCAGTGCGTCATGCACACCGAAAAGGGCCCTCTCCGCCTGGGTACGTGCGCTTGTGTGTGTTTGGAGATTTTGGAATAGTCTACTGGGAAACTCCTTTTAAAGAGACCCCGTTTACGTCTTTGCAGAGAGCCAGGGACTGGGTGGGCGGAGGATTTGAAACAAGTCTTAAATGTTTTGTCTGAGAAGAGTCATGCAGCAAGGTTAAAAGGGGATTTTGGTCCCTCTAGGATGCAACAAAGGATGCATTTTAGTTTGGGAGGAGAAGAAAAGAAAAATTCTCTGCACGGTGCAGATTTTCTGTAATTGAAAACTAAGCTAAACTGCAAATTAGCAACGTAAAACCCATCTCTGATTCCAGCCTGGCATGCAGATGGCATCACTTATAACTGCTTAATGCATGGGGAGGCAAACTAAGGCCTGGGGGCCAGATCCGGCCCAATCGTCTTCTAAATCTGGCCCGCGGACGGTCCGGAAATCAGCATGTTTTAACATGAGTAGAATGTGTGCTTTTATTAAAATGCATCTCTGGGTTATTTGTGGGGCCTACCTGGTGTTTTTACATGAGTAGAATGTGTGCTTTTATTTCAAATGCATCTCTGGGTTATTTGTGGGGCATAGGAATTCGTTCATTCCCCCCTCCCCAAATATAGTCCGGCCCCTCACAAGGTCTGAGGGACAGTGGACTGGCCCCCTGCTGAAAAAGTTTGCTGACCCTGGCTTAATGCATACTGCATTAAGTGGGGAGGAGCTTAACAGCTGGCTGCAGCTGCTGTAGACCCAAGTATTGTTAGCTGCCCCCTATCTCTAAGTAGTGAGGGGTTTGGGAGTTCCCAGCACATGCCTTGAATGAAGGTCGCTGGAGACTGATAACACTCCTGCGAAAAAACATTTTATTTACATGTACATGCAGGGTGAGCCTAAGATGGAAGGGCTCACAGCATTAAAACTCCAATGGATCCTGCTGCCCCGTTAGGTTTCTTGGGGAACTCATAAGGCTCTGGATTCTTACAGAGAGAAAGTGAGGCCACTGCTTCTCTCTCAGGCATGGTTTCAAGACTGCCCATCCGTTGTCCTCTCCTACACATAGGCATCCTGGTGAC